ATTATTAATGGTATGAGGCGGGATAGAGGAACCTAAAAAGACTTTGATAGAAACTATAAATAGATTTAAACTCTTAACTGAACATATGGCTCTTTATTTGTCTCAGTTGCTGCAAAAGATCCATATGGTCGATCCTAAATAATTGAGACTTTATGACTAAAATGTTATTGTTGCTGCTGAAGTGTGTGTAGCAGATGGGTATAGGCAATGCTTGCGAGCCATTCTGAAGGAAGAAGGGTTCTGATGCATTTTAGTCAATGTTTGCAATGCTGTTCGATATGGTTTGGTATGGACAGTATTTACTAATCCAACCTGTTAGCACTATATGGATATGGGTAGGCCAGATGGTACACCTAGTACTGGACCTGTATTGGGTGGTACAGGGTTTGCACCACCTGTTACACCTGGTACAGGGGGCTGATAATGGGTGGTACACCTGGTTTCGGGCTGGTATCAGTCAGTACAGGACCAGAGTACCACTGAGTACAAAGTGGTACATGCTCTGAACCAGACAGTTCTTTTTCTGTTTTCAGTCTTTCAAGGCTTTTTTTTTTTTCAAAACTTGGTATGTACCAATGTACCAACACTCGATATGAACCTTGATTTTAATATAAACATCGTTTTAGTGAAAGAACGCTACTCAAAAATGTAATTTTGTTTTGATCATAGCGTTTCTATTATAATATATTGTCCTATGCATTACGAAACTTTCTTTTGGTGCCAACCACTAGGATGAGGGACAGCAAAGTGCATGTTTGGCTTTCTTAGAACACACACACACACACATATTTATGTATATATATTTATGTATATATATATATCCTCGTTTCCCACGTCTTTTTCATGCTTTCAAGATTTTCAGTGCAAGCTGGGTGATTGTTTATGCTCTTCTCTTCTGCTTCATTATATCCAATAAGCTTTTCCAATGGTAACTTGCTTAAGTAGACATGGGAAAGGATTGTACTCATTGTAGGCTTTTTCCTGAATTTGTTGACTTTTTGCTTTCTTGCAATCTATGTTACCTCATGTCCTCGGTATCAAACTTATATCACGATATTAGTATATGGTGGTGTTAACATTATCATTTGCAAATACAAATTGATAGATCTCATCACTGTTTACCAACTTGTTGAAAGGTATGTTGAAGCGATACGTGAATTCAATAAGATACTACTGTATATTCTCAAGTACAAGCAGTTTCATCAGAAGTCACCACAGTATGATCAGATACTGAAGAAAAATGAGCAGATGTATGCATTGTTGGCAATTTGCCTTTCTTTGTGCCCTCAGAACAATCTTGTTGAGGAGAATGTGAATTCACAGTTGAGGGATAAGTACAATGAGAAGATGACAAAGATGCTGAGGTATGATGACGAAGCATATGCTGTGTATGATGAGCTCTTCACATATGCCTGTCCCAAATTTATAACTCCATCAGCTCCAGTTCTGGAGGAACCTCTTACGAATTACAACCAGGTAATAACTTTCTGTTTGCGTCTTATGTTGGTTGCTGTTGTTTTGTTTTGTCTTTTTTAACGTAAATATGCTGCACCATGATCTGTCGGTTTCTGATATTACTGTCATTACTATTTCTCAAGCTTTTTGGCCACGGTAAGTTTATCTTGGTTAAGTTATCCCCTCTGGTTCTTAACTAAATGGTATCCCTATTTTGACCTTTTTTTTGGTGTATATGTGCAATTTTGAAGTTCATAAGTGTGCTAAATTGCAGGATATATCTTCATGCATCCTTGTTTGTCAAAAAGTAATGATCTTTACGTGGTATATTGTGTTATTTAGCAGCATATATCTGCATGTCCAGTAATAGCTCAGTAACCTTCCTGCAGTCTAGTAACCTATGTATCTAAATGACCAAATTTAGAATTTTCATGCTGAATGCAGGATGCTTACAGACTTCAGTTGAAGTTGTTTCTCTATGAAGTAAAGCAACAACAGTTGCTTTCTGGTGTGCGCAGTTTCTTGAAGTTGTACTCAACCATATCAATAGGGAAACTTGCTGCATACATGGAGGTGGACGAACCCACTTTGAGGTCTGAATTTATTGTTTTTATTTTCTTTTTATTGAAAACTGGTAAATTTTATTTTGAAGAAGAGCTATTGATGCCTCGAGACTTGGTTGTGCGTCTCTTTGTCAATGTCACAAACTTTTGAATGTTCCTGTTCCAGGTTTTTAGCTTATATTGGCTAATTGACTCTAGTGCATCTCTAATTTTGTTATGACTCGACAAATTTTTTTGTCAGAACCATCTTGATGACATACAAACACAAGATGCATGCCGTTGATGGTGACGGAAAGATCATTCCAAATGCAGACGTGGACTTCTATATTAGTGAGGTAAGTTATTTCTGATTGGCTTAATGTGCAATCTCACTTTTACTGTTAGTAGTTGTTAACATCTTTTCTTTTCTTGAATGAGGATTGAATCTTCTAGTTAGAACTGTGGTTTGGGAGGTTGATGCCACCAATAGAAGGAAATGTAAAAGCCATTATATATATATATATATATATATATATATATATATATAACAGCAGAGAACTTTATATCCCTTAGTTTTCATACTTCTCCGACATTTCATACATCATAGCTGTTTGTTCTCAGAATTTGTAAATTGAATACAGGACATCGTCCATGTTGTGGAGTCCAAACCAACAAAGCGCTATGGTGACTATTTCTTGCGTCAGATCTTAAAGGTAGGTTTGTTGGCCTTTTTATTAAGTCACAGTACTATGTCTACTTTTCAGCAGCAATAGCTGTTTGATTGCATATGCATTCTAAAATTGTCTGGCATTTTTTTATGATGGATTGCAGTTCGAGGAGATGATCGGCGAGCTGGACAGAATAAAGATGGACTGATTCTCTGTGCTGCATGCTCCGCTTTTTACCATCGAAGGGCAGGATAGTGTTCTGTTTCCTTTTTAATTTCTGGTAGTGAGTTATCCTCTATGGAAGTCCTACAACGTGATGTTCTAGTATAAATTTTGGTATCTTTATACTGTCGTTTTGCATGCCGAAGGCTGATCAGCCCATATGCTTTATTGATTTACCCATATACATGTGGTTCAGTAATCTTGCATATTGTTTTTTTGCCTTGGAAAACCTTGGTGAGTCGGCCACCATGTCAGATTACCAGCACCCCGAGACGAAGCTGCATGGCCAGGGTAGAGGGAACATACCCTTAGTCTCACATCAAGTTAGATGAATATTTTATTCTATTGGTATGTCATACGTACTTCATTCAGAGAGCCCATTTGGGAAGACTTGTTCATGCAAAAATGCTTATTACCTGCCATGGATGAGTGGAAGGCCATGAAACCATGCATTTTGTCATTTGAGATCAGTAGCAGTAAAATCCATTGTCTGCCATCGTTGCCCGCAGCAGTTGCATTCTCCATGGAAAGTTTGTAACAGTGAATGTTTTTAGCATGTAATTGTTGCAAATCTTGGCCTGATTTAAAGTGAGATACTTTCAGTAAATTTGGCAAGTCTCTGATGGTGATATTCCTCCATTTATTAGGATCATAAACTATTTCCAGCTAATTTATTTGTGCCTTTCTGGGATGATTATGATGTCATATATCAATTGAATTAGCAATTCATAGTTTGTGTTGGATCCATATAATGTTTAGCAAACATCATTTACTTGACTTTTTTTACTTTGGTGTGCAAAGCATGTTGGATTATTTACACTCGAAGACGAGTTTCTTGCCTGATAGATCTCGTGGTCGTGGACTCACTGTGTATTCTCACTTTTCTTCCTCGTTGCCATGATTGAATGTTTCTTCAACCCAGAGAGAAAGAGAGGTGACTTGTGCTGTGACATACCATCCGATGCTTTTAGTCGTCGAGGGCAATGCAGATACCATCGTTTGTTCTCGTCGAACAAGGTGGCAGAGAGAGAGAGAGAGAGATAGAGAGAGAGAGGGTGGTGAATGCTGCTGTGACAGGCGAGCACTTGGCACGATGGTCGACGCAGATCTCGTTTGTTGTTGTCAAAGGAGAGAGAGTCATGAGATCTTGGAAGAGTACAAAAGTCAACTGATACTCCACTAAATCCTATGAAGTCTATTCCAAGAAGGTCCTTTCAACCTACGACAACAAAGGAAACGAATACAAAAAAGTCCTCTCAGAGAAAACACAGCTCCCCCATTCACATAACAGCAATATGCAACTCAGCTGAACTTGTCGAATGGGCTGCTGCAACCCATTGGATTGGATGATATTTTAGTCAGATGAAGTCAAAGGAATTTTGTCAACCTATATAATCCATTAAACTCTGAAACGTAGGATCTCTGAAAGCTTGCATTTGTGCACACAACTTGTATTTTATGGAATCTATTCTTGATCTCAAAACTGTATCTTAAATTGAGTTCTTTTCCTATCATTTAAGGGCAAGTCAACGACAATCTATTTAAATTGGTAGTGAAGAACTTAAAGTGAACATGGCAACAAGACTCCTCCATGAACATGGCAATAGGCCTTGAGGTTGGATGGAGAGTTGAGACTTATATAAAGGCCAAGTCACAAGAATAAAGATATGAATGATAAAATAAGCATATTCTATTGAACGCTACAATGTTGATTTGATCTCAAGCCAATATTTTACTAATCATACAGAATGTACCACTGATTCCTCCCCCCCAACCGATAAGATGATCAAACAGGTAGAAGAGATCAAACAGTATAAGTTCTCGGATTATGTCAAGAGAGACAACCAAGATGCAAAGAAAGCTGTTCAGTCCATTCAGAAGACACTTGTTCAGTCATTGCAAGTCAAAATACATTTATTATGAACAATAGAACTCATATAACATTTGAAAGGGTAAACGAATTGCACAAGAGTGGTAAAATACATGCAAGGAGGAAGTATGTCTCGGAAAGAGCCGATAGCAATCATCACTGAATATGGCATAAATTACAGGTGAAGAAGCTATGACGATAGTTTGTAGAAATAATTTGGCAACGCAATGGATTTTTTTTTTTAACTAACATAAAATGAACTCCATCTAACATTCACAACCGGATGATTGTTGTCGTCTCGCACCACCCGCCACATCAATGGTATCAGGAAGATATCTTCATCATAAAAAGGAAACCGTTCAGGCACCAAAATATGAAAGATAAGCAAGTATAATCTTCAAACTAAGAGTAATATAAACAAGCCTGCCTACTCTCAAAACAGGAGATTTAAAACATAAATGCCATAAGAGCTACCAAGAAATTTAAGATCTTTTATTTTGATATTGTTTATGGAGTTTGAATATTAAGCAACCTAAGATCTAAGGGTAACTTTCAGAATGCAGAGTGTGATTTTTATATAGATTGATCCGTGCTGACATGCATGTAGCATGAAGATGTAGTTCAAACCTAAATAGTTATTTTTCTGAGAATCAGGGGTGTTGACAGATGATATGGAGATACTCACATATCTTCCTCCGGCTAATTCTTGAGGGCATTTTTGGCAATACATTGGAAAGCAGCTTCCACATCGAATCCTTCTTTAGCTGATGTTTCAAAATAAGGAATGTTCCCCTTTGATGCACACCATGCCTTCGCTTTCTTCTCAAGAGACCTGAAAATCCAGAGACAGATCAAAGCATATAAAAACATACCACTATATATAGCAGGGTTCCACATGATGACTTGGTCCAACTGGGACTTGGCGTTTACAGATTTCACGACATTAAACTTTGATAAAGTTACATTAATCTCTTCTGTTGCTATTGTTTGTTTGGACCCATCAAGTAGTAAAGACAGAACAGAGCTTCGACTATCATGCTAAATTTTTTGCTTCCTGGATAACATTAAAATGGCAGGAGAATCTTTCCACTCGGCTGTTGCCACCATCAATATCTATCTTGTTACCCAACAGTATAAATGGGTAGTTTTCAGGGTCAGATGGGCTAGCCTGAAAATTAGACAACCAAACCAGATATTACATGACATATAT